GCAACATATTAGTTTGTTCACTCCTAGCTTTCTTTCAACCTCTTTCTCCACTAGTAAGCATCGCTTGTCAGAGTATACAGTTACAAATTTCATTGTTATTTGTTGCATATTTAGAAGCGGACTTATTATCACCTACACAAATGCATCAAGAAGAACATAGTACTGCTAGTTTTTCAGAGGATAAACAGTTAACAAGTGCCAATAATACCAACACTAATGATATAACAACGTCAACTAGATCACAACCTACTAGTGAACATCGTTGGGATCAAGAAGATGATCTATCAGATATTGTTTTACAAAATGAAACTGATAAAATGAGTGAAACCGATATTCAGTCGTCACATGAAGGTAAATCTTTTTATTTCTTTTTTTCAAAATAGTTCTGTTTTTATTTTTCCCCTAATGATGATGTATTTCGGTAACAAAGTATAAGTTCTTGTAACTCACTTTCTTTGGGTAACAGTTCATACACATATCTGTTGGTTGATGATATTATTATGCTGCCTTTCTAAAAAAGTGAAATATATGCAGTAGTAGACCTGGCTGATGAGACACGAATAGGATGAAACGAACTTTTTGGACCCCACAACTGATCGCTATTCAACTGTGATGGAAACAAATGAAGTTTTAGAGTGCTGGAGCTTGTAAATTCACCCAGTCGTTCAGTCGAACAGCTGTATTTATCAAATAATCACTTTTTGTATTCTACAAAATTACAAGCTTTTAGTGAAAGATTTGATATTTAGTAGTCGAAAATGAAATTATGTGATGGACTTATATTTACTTGTAGTTAAATGAACAAAATATTCATTAGGTGTTTGTATCGGTCAAATATATGGTTATGCTTTGATTTGCAGGTTATTTTCATTACAGTTTCATTCTAATCAGGTCACTTCTGGAAACTAGGGAGAAATAGACAGTTGTCCCATTGTATCATGAGGTTCTTCATAAGTACGTAACCACAACCCAGCTAGACATCGAGCTCAGGACATCCAATTCTTTTGTCAAATACTTGACTATTAGGACCACTAAGTTGATGTCGAATGGTACAGTTTCAGCTTCAATCAATCTATGATCTACTTTAATGACAATCCGCAGTCATTGGTAACGACCGTTGCACTCAAATTATGCTTTACATCTAATCTCTAGTTGTATTTGGTTTGATAAAAATGTATAAATTGATTGTTGAACTAGATATCACTAGTAGTCAAGCTAATCTTTGAATTTCTAAAGTTTCGTAAAGTACACCTCTGTTTGAAGTCAGTAAGACTTCATTTTCTATAAAGGTATTGTTCTATAAGGGCATTTAGAGTGAGAGAGGTAGTTAGTGGACTTGTCACATCCTCACCCGTACCATGGCATTTAGAGAGGACTTAATCGTCTCTTTCCTTCTTTCATTTCTAGACAATGTTACCTCTCTTCTTTTCTGACATTATTTTGGTCCCACGTTGTATAAAAATACATCTGTATTAAACGCGAAAATAAAAACTTCATATCTATCATTTAGACAGAGTTAGAGGGTGGCTAACAGGACGCGCGTCTTATTCTATTTGGGACTTGTCAGTTGGATTTGCTTGCACCAGTGTAGATGGTCACTTCACGACTCAAATCCTGTAACTTTCGATTCAAACACCCGACGCATTATTCACTTAGCTACTGAGATCATATAGCCGCTAGCTTGTGCAATCGAATGAATTTTGATTTAAGTTGTATTGGTTGCCTGAATCTTCCTGTTGATGTCATGGACTGCAGTTGATAACTCCAGATTAAGATAGAATGCGTGTCCTACATTCCACTGATAACCATAATCCAACTTAGTTTAAAAAAATACTTATGACTGATGGAAAGATCAAGGGAATCCATTCAAGATACTCATATGTTAAAAAAGCCCAGAGCAATTGCAATCCATTACATTAACGGAAAAATTCAAACAATCAATACGAATGAATTTATATCTATCTGTATGTTATATGTCTCTTTATCATTTACTTTCTATTCAAGTGACGAATAATGAAACACCAGATGTAGATATAAGACATGCTCATCATGTTGGCTATACATCAAATCAACTGATAGATAATAATAATAGTAGTATAATGCAAAATCTTGAAGCATATGATGAACAAGATGTTATTGGTGATAATGAATTGGATGATATGGACTCATCAAGACAACGACAAGATAATTCCATCGAACAACAACAACAACCTCCAGTCGTTGCTTCATCGAATGCACATCATGGTCTTGCATCTATTCCACATAATGAAGATAGTGGCAATGCTGTTGAATAGAAAAATTACTTAGAAAAGAGAAATACAGAATAATTGTAACAACAAAATAAAAGAAACATCTCAACGTGAAAATCCGGTTTCATGTAGTTGTTATTCGCCATACTTTCTTTGTGTAGATTTTGTTTTATATTCTTTATCACTTTAATTGTTCTTTGTATAAGAGTATGGGCAGTAGGGGGGGGGGAAGTAGGAGAAAAGCTATTTATTGAGTTATTGTTGTCTATCTTTCTTTTTATTTCCCACTTTCCCTCATATGCACACACTTCGTTATGCCTTATCTAGTCATTTAAAAAAATTGATGTTTGTTTCACGTGTGTTGTACACTTGCACACATACACACACACACAATCACTCATTTCTCTTTCGTTATACTCTTTCAGTTAACTAACTCATCCACATCATCAATGCTCGACTTACCATATTCTATATAATGCTTGATTTCTTTTTTACTACATCTCGCAATACAATATGTATTTTATGCATGTCATAATAATAAATAATTATGTAATCTTAATTCCTATGTATTATTATTACTTTTTTTGGTGTTTTTTTTTGTTTCTATTTTAATTGTGATTAAATGGTTACACTGTTTACTCCTATTCGAATTATACTTATTGTTATTTGAAGAGATAATTCAAAGTGGAACAACTTTTCAAGGAATAAAGTAACACCAAAAAAAGGACACATTGAAAATCATACAACTCAATAACCATACAAAGTATTTCTATTACTATTTTGTTTGTTTGTTTTCTTGTTTTCTTTTCATGTAAAATGAAGTTTTGTTTATTTTCATTTGAAGCGATGATTTTACGTTTGAATGAATTTGGTTAAAAACAAAAAAAAATGAAAAGATTATAGAGAATCTTCTATTTAATGTTAGTTTAATCTTTCGATATATCGGTGGTGCTACAGGATACTTTAGTTCGTTATTCTCTTTACTTCTCTTGTTCTATCATCTCTATGTTATTTTCAATGTTTTGTTTGTTTGTATACTAACAATATACAAATAAATAATGCTTCAATAATAATGGTTACAATGATATATTTAAAGTTATTATTAGTTAGCTGTTATAATTGAATACTATTAGTACTACAACATTACTGCTCTATTATCCTCAACATTAATAATAGTAGTAATAATAAGAATAGTTAAAAATGAGTACTGAGAATTTTTCCAGTATTCTTTTTCAATTCATTGATAGAGTCTGATCGATATGTTTAAATAAAAATTAGATTTACTATTAATGTTGTTTATTGATCATTGTCATCACCACCATCATATTCGCTGACATCATCCACAAGGATATTATTTCGATAGGCTTAAAGTGCTGCTTACTATCTATGACCGTTTTCCACCTCCTCCTCACTATTATTATTATTATTATTATTATTATTATTATTATCACCGTCATCATCATTGAATAATATCGTAGTAACATGTGACAGTCATAATAATGATAGTGTTTATTATTGTGTTATTGAACAATGAATTGTTGATTATATTGTTATTCTTCGATTGCATTGTCTGTCCTTTCTGTTGTTTAGTTACTTTTTTTTTTCTTAAAAATCAAATGTATGTTTCTTCGGTTTTTATATCTGCCTTAAAATGACCTCCTGTTTTGTTTTATGTGAATGTTGTGAGTGTGTGTGTGTTTATGTTAATTTATTTTCCTGCTTTTCTACAAGGATGAAGTGACCAGCTAGTTAAGTAAAACTAATGAATACATCGTCACATTATGATTATTATTGTTTCATTGAGGTTTATCTTCATCAGTTTATTATATTCTCGAATAATGAATATAAAAAATACCCGTGTATGTGTTTTTATGTTTTTACATAGGTTCATCTGATCATTCGTTTATTTTTATGAGATCAGCTGAACAGGAATTTTAAAGTTTTGATTATTAAATGAATCCAAGTTGAACAACAGATGGAAACTAGGAAGCACTAAATAGAAGTTTAGTCCTGGTATGAGACTCCTCGAAAGCGTACATCCGCAACTTCATCGAGAATCGAATGTAGGTGTTTCGGTCTCATAAATCAACTTCTAACCCTCAGACAAATGACGTACATGTCTAACTTTATTCAATCCAGGATAGTTCGCAACGAACTTCTATTATCTTCCGGGTGTAACAGTTTAACATCTTACTTGTTTGAACTCTACTGATGATGGCTTTCTGGTTGGCTAATTATGTCAGGAATATTTAATAATCTTCATAAACCTCTGTACTGATGATTATTAGATCATTTAAGGAAGAAAAACAGGTGGAGGCACGAATTTATAAAGATGAGTGTAAACAGAAGAAATTATAATTCAAACGTGTCATGAGTGAAGAATAAGTCATCAATGAAGTTGATTGTTTGCTACCATATATATTAAAGATCGGAATTACACCACAAGATGTTGCCTTAGAAAATTCAAAAGTTAAACGCTCGCCGCATGACATGAACGTCCTGGTTTAGACACCTGGTGGAGTAATAGATGCGCATTATAAGATTAAAACTACATATACTGTCTTAAATCTTGAATGACGGTAATACGAGCTAGTTCAACGTCACTGCATTCTAATATGCTTTGTATGATGCTGAAACTCACCAAGCTTAAACTCATGCTTCGCGTAAATTAAAGAAAAACTCTCAGTTATTATTTTGCATTGTGATCGTTCATTTAAATCTTAAAAGATTTTAATATTTCACGTATAAACTTTTAAAACTTAGAATACATAAAAATAATTATTATCCATAAACTTTCATATTAGAATCACTCAGCTTCGGTTAATAGTAGGGAAAACAGTTACTTTTAAATCTAACTCACTGTGAGATGAGTTTTACAATAAACATTAAATATGAAATCGTATTTAACTTAATCTCAACCATTATCATGATATTTTGTTTATTGTTCCTTGAGATAATCTTGTTTCAGTTGTTTCATGTAAATTACTAAAGTTCAATACATAGATAAGGATGTTATTTTTGTCTATCTAAGCTGTCCAAGTTAATTAATGTGAAATTAACCATCTAAACCATTAGGAATATCCCATACTTTGATATTAAAGCATTTTGACAATTACAAAGAGTTAAATTATGTGATGTTCAAATATTGATTTCATTTATATGAATGTATCGAGATGTTACGTGGTTGAAGATAATTGGGAGAGTACAGTGAACCTAGGTTTGCTGCTTATTGAAACATGTTTGTAATTTTCACATATAATGTTAAGTGAGTCCTACAATGGGGGAATTAGTTCCCTTAAATTCAAAGGTACACCTTGTTGAAAAATGCCAACTAGTATGAAACATAAATCAGGCAGAATTTCCTGTTCAACTACTTATGACGAAAGGTATAAGTAGTATGTAACATCAATCAAAAGTAGAATGTCTTTATAGAACAACCCTGAGTAGATTGAGGAGAATAGAAACAAATTATGAATTAGAAGAATCATACAGAATGTGAAAGATAATTGATGGAAAATTTACAAACAAAGTATTTTACAAAGATATTCTGTAATTTTGAATTAAATAACGAATTGTTTATTCCTACGTAAGTCTTCATTTACAACAACAGTATTCAATCATCATTAAAGAAATAGACTAATATAACATTTGATCATTGCTTAATGATCCGTTAGTTACAAAATTTGTTTTTTCTTTTAACTTGTATATGACAATCTATCTCTATGTGTAAAATTACTTCTTATTATACTCTAACAGAACTAAAACAATTCAAAACTGGATAATTTAGGAAAGAGTGAACTTCAAGAGGTGCTTATTATTATTTTTTTTTAATGTCAAACAATATATAAGAGAATATTGAACAGAAATGGTTAAACGATTTATTACATGAAAAGATAAAATAAAATCAAAGTTTTCATTATACATTTTCTCTATTGTACAAAAAAAAGAGGAAAATGACTCGTTAATTTTTATATATTGCACTATATTAATACTACTACATAGACTCACTAAAACATAAAATAAAAAACAGAATGAAAGGAACACATTGATGATGTTTTTCATTTCTTTATTGTTTTCTTTGTTGTTGTTGTTGTTGTTTTTCATTGTCTTGAAAAAGAAAAGTAAATGTTCCTTTGTAATTTTCTACAACTAGATTTCAAAAGTAAAGGCGATGTTGGTGATCATCTTGGTTTTGGAAAGGTTAAAATGACTTATAACAATAATAATAATATTCTGTAATTTAACTAAACCTGCAGGTTTCAATACATGTGATCAATCTCAGGTAAAGCAGAATAAGATGGACAGGGTTGGTTGAATTATTAGTAGTAGTAAGTTAAACGAATAAATCAGTGAAAACAAACAAACAAACAAACAAACGGAAATTATCAATAATAATACTATTAATAATAATAACAATAATAATAAGATCTGATTCAATGAAAGTAAGCAAAAACTAATATTGAATTGAAATCAACAAAAGAAAAAGTATAATTTGTTTCACTTTTGTTTTTTCTTTTCTCTTATTATTATTATTTTTTAAAATTAAAATTAAAATATTGATTGTTTATTTTCTATCAGTTCCAGCCATAATACTTTCTGATTCATAAAGACTATCATGTTTAGCCATAATACGCATTAATGGGCGTAAACTAAGCCACCATTCTTCTTTTGGTAAACGATGTCTATAAAGGAAATAGAAATAGAGAATTTTATAAAGATTTTCATGAGCGATTAGTTAAAGAGAGAATCACTGGGAATGAAAACATACAAAGGAATATTTTTTTTCATTCCTGTAAAGTGTGATCGATAAATGAACTCAGCAATGACAATATTAAACGCCCATCACCACATTAAATCTCTTTGGCTTTGGATAGTTGTGCCTTGTTTATTCAGCAATCATAATTTTTCCGTTTATCATAAACGATACTAGATTTTCACAGTTGATTTCACGGGTCGATCTATGCTAAACTACCCTTGAAAACTTGAAAGCATCGGATCATGGGTGTGCACTGCTGAGGAGTCACATACTAGGATGAAACGGCCGTTCAGTGCTTCCAGGTTTTCAGTGGCGGTCTAGCTTAGATGGACTCGTGAAATCAACTGTAGAAATACTACAATTCCCACAAATCCACATACTGATATAAGGTTTTTTGTCTCATTTTTCGTATCCTCTGGCTACTGTTCAGTATGTTTTTGATGTCTCTTTTTTCCTGTTTAATGTGTTGAGTAGATTGTTTTATGCAAAATAACAGTATTAATTTACGTTTTAGGAACAGGTAAAGTTTATCAAGCCAAATAGCTTACTTGTTATGACTTTGGCTGTGCTAAGACTCTGTGCTCGACAGTCTGGGAAATAGTTTAGAATTTTGTTTGTAGAAAAATACTTTCTACAATCTCTCTGTCTTACTTTAATATATCGTTCATAATTAATTTCCTAATGAACCAATGGGACATCACGTTAATGAAACATTGAATCAAATGATCGAAATAAGAAATGTAAGTGAGAATACATCCAATTCATGCATTCAATTACAAACAAACAATCATGTAAGCAAAGAACGGATTGATGTAGCATAAAGTTGGTAAATTAAATAACTCATTCTAATTAAGACGATTCATTGTATATATAAAAATAGACTGCGTATAGAATACGGCGAGTCAATACATAGCCAATTAGATCACAGATGAAAATAGACATACGTACATACACAAGAATATAGGATGAACGTTTAGAGTTAATAATGTGGATCAAATATGAGTGTATAGAATAACTGGAAAGATGAAAGCAAACTAACTGTTCAGAAGCTTGAACAGTCTGTTCCACTGGCGTTCGTTGCACTGTTAACAGCAGAGTGAATTTATAACTCATCTGGAGAATCACCATTATGCATATCTCTGAGTCAAAATCCAGCGGTTTTGTAACAAAATAAGAGGCTGTGCTTAATAATTCCTAGTGGTTTCAGTAATTCCACACAAATGATATCAGTAGTTTATGATGAATTGATTATGCAATAAAGAGATAAATTTCTTTGAGGTTTGTGTCTTTAATGAAATATCTATAAAGATGATTCTCTTCAGAGTTTACTTTTGTGTATCTCTTTAAGTGCTGGTTCTTGTTCATGAAGAAAAAAAATCATTTTAAAACTGATCATTCGAATATAATTACTTGTTTAAATAACATATTTTCAGTCACCGTGAAATCATCATCGTCATCATAAGGTTATCTTGAGAATATAGACTGAATGTTCTTATGACAACTTGGTATATGTCTTAAAAACGCAATATAAATAACCGTAACTACAATTTTCTGAGTTTTGGCTAATACACTTTAAGGTTATGATCAAAGAATCGCAAATCTATTGTTGTTGTAGTGATACAGTTGGCTAATCAAACATTGGCCAGATGCTAGGTGCAGGTGATCAGTCAAGATATTGTTCGTTTTTGTAAGGAAGTAGACACATTCCATTGATGAAAAAAAAATGTGACATATACTTCTATCTTTTCACTTAAGTATTTGATTAAGCTTGTGTTTAAGAATCTGACACTGCACAACACAACATCTAACACATACTGAGTCAATATGATTCACCAAATTATTATAGATGTACCATTTAAAGTAATCTATCCCATTCTATTTATATTACACTATCAAAGATATCATTATCTGCATATGATGAACACTATAAAGAATTCAGTTCAATAAATTAAACCTTTACATTCGAAAAAAATTGTCTCACTTGGATCTGATCACATCAAGGTCAATTTGAAAATGTTTACATTTTTATATCAATGTGAATTAACTAATAAGAAAATTTAAGCCTAAACTTATTTTCTTTTTCTAATTTCTATCTTGATATAATCAATTCTAATAAATAGCTGCTTAAATCATTCATTTCATTATTGTTTATTACTAATGGATTGATTTACTGATTACTATTTACTTAGTATTACATTTAATTATAAAACATTAACCGCTTTTAATTTATGTTATATCATAATGATAAGGAGGTTTTAAAAAAAAAGAAGGAAATAAACACCATTCCTTTTATCAGAAGGGGGATTTTATGAAGATTTTCATAATTTAATAGTTGAATTCAAAAATCAATTAAAGCTAGACTACCATGGAAAATCTGGAAGCATTGAACGGCCATTTTGTCCTATTCAGGAGTCCAATACTAAGACGACACAGCCACGCAGTGCTTCCATATTTTTCATGGTGGTCTAGTTTTAATTGATTCATGAATTTAACTATTAAATCACTTTTTTCTTTGTCATATATTTTTTCCTCTACCTCAAATTGAACTATTTCATTATCATTATAATTTTAGTACAATTAAATCTTATAAAATAAATTAAAAAAAAAAAACAAACATTTACTCGAAATCTGTATGTTCTCTCAATTCCATTATGTTTGAATAGGTTGTCTGACGACGTACAATACCAATTAGTGTACAGCATAAATGTCCTGGTGTATAGACTGTAGCTGTTTATAAAAGAAAAATTAGGAAAAATATAAGTTAAAAATAATTACAGATGTTACAGGGTTCCAATAAAAATTTAATATTATTTATAAGATATTTTTAACTATCGGTTTCTCACATTTTGGTGACACATACATAATCGTATTACTAACGTAACCATAATCAAAAATAAACTATCTCGGATGTGAGACAGTTATCCTTAGTAGGTAATAGGAGATGACGTCACAATATCAGGAGTGCACGGTATTAAATACAAGCTTAACAGTCTTGAGTTTAGCCGCGACATCGAAGATTCTAGGTTAGATCCACAGAGTGATGGCAAGTGCTCCCAGCTAAGAAGTCTCATATAAGGATGAAACAGCTGTTGAATACTTCCTGGTTGTCTAACTGGGGTAAGCCAGTAGTGTAAACCGTGAAACAATGATATGATGAAATTGTATAGTCATATTTTTGGTTTGAACATTATTAGTCTGCACCTGATTTGATTTTTATTTTATGTTACAGATTCATTATCAAGCACAGATTCGTGTACCTAGCTCCGAGAAACACTACATGTATGAGGGCTAGGGATACTAGTCAGTTGTTATAATATAGAAGTATCGAAACAGTACCTAGTTTATCTCAACAACTGAAAGTGAATATCACCTAAATATATTTAAAATAACTCAATCACTCTTGTGTCCGAGGTAGTTTAAATTATAGGCGAATTCTGGGAAACATTTATGAACTGTTATTATATATATTATTATAAAACTTCTAAGTAACTATACTATATGCAAATTCACATCCCTTTTTATTATAAGCTACCATTTGACCTATTGACTAATATTATACAGTTTACTAGTCTTAAGTTATTCCCGATATATTAGTTATAGTCTTTCACACTCACAAAGACTTTTGGCCTGATCTTGTATGATTGTTGTTTTCTAATTTCTGGTATGATGCAGTCTGATTTGCTTGTATGTAAACTACGTATGATTGCAACACATGATTCATTCTGTGGAAGCTGAGATTGTGTTCTGGAATGTGTCGTCTGAGTTAGGCGAGAAGCTACTATCTCAGAGGACCAATAAAACCTCAGGATTGACTCGAGGCTGCTCGTATTGGTTTATGCTTCATTGGTTTGCCAGAATGCGAACGTCATAACGGTTGGTGTTTTATTGGTGATTAGGTCATGTGATAAATTAGCAAGTCCATAGGACATAACGGTCACGATTAATAAAATAATTGTTTGTGAAATCACGTAAAGTTTGATTAGCTATTTTTAAAGCTTTTAAACATTTATCGTTTAAATCAACTTAATGAAACTCTTTGAAACTAACCTGACTATACTCTAATTCAAATGTTCAACCTTATTAGCCATAGCGAATCATTTATAATAACAATAATATCTTGTTAAATCCCAAGATTAACATTTAAGGCAAATGAAAAGGCTGGGAATAAACTCCATGTTGTTAAGTCATCTGAATGTAACGTCATCAGTGACTAAGGTTATGTTTTCGTTTATTTAGTCACTTAGTTGTAGATATTTTGCAATAATGTCTATTACAGAATTAATTGGAGGTATGTCCTTTGCTATGTTGTAATTTTTCCTCGATCATGACTGACTGGCCTACACTAGACACGTCAGTAGCTTGGTGGAGTGATATTTTCATCGTAGAAAACTTTACATTTTTCATGTGAGCCAGCAGAAAAGACAGAAAGCGAAACACGTCCTTCATAATGGATTACGATGGTTTAAATAATAATTCCCACTTCATTTTGGTTGGTTGCCAGGTTCAAGGCCAAAGTTGCAAACGAGAATAGAGTTTATCCTTACCCAATGAAAATCAATTAATTTGCTTATATATCAATACAAATAAGACATGTGTAGCCAAATGGAGAAGGGAAAATCATATATTTACAGAAATCTCAGAGACTGAAAATAAGAGCAACTTGAAATTTTCATTCAACAGTTTGATTTAAGCTTGTTCCGGCGAAATAGTCAAAAATTAAGATCACTCACAACCATAGAGTTAAGTTGTCTATTTTTGGTGAATAATTTTTCGCATATGATTTCCATATATATACAACTTTTTGCTTGTTGTTAATACCATTTTAAATACATTTTACACCAATGACTCTTATTCACGTTTGCATTCGAACAAATTCCAAATTCTACATCTTTCAAATTATTAGACTATATAGGTTTTTAATGGTGGTTTAACATTGATCGATTCATGATCTCAATAGAACACACTTGTATTGGTTGTTTGGATCTTGCCATTAATGTTGAGGACTACAACTGATCAGTTTCTTTCAGTCAATCGCCTATCTTGTCAAGATAACCTTAATATTGATATGAAGTCACAAGCCTTATAAACAGAGATGAATGGTGGCTAGCAGTGAAATCCAGAACGGGCACTTCATCTTATTTTAGGTTTTTCAGTTGGATGTACCTGTATCCCCGAGTTAATATTCACTTCGAGACAATAGTTTAATACATAGTTAATTTGTAAACAGATTTATATTTCTGATTTTGCGATATTTCCCTGGAAAAAGTTGGATCAAACTGTTGAAGAAAAACTAATTATTCATTCATAGTAAGACGAAAGTTCTTACTGAATATAGAAGGTTGGTAAAAAAAATTCGATTTTGAAATTGAGCAACTAGTTAGTCTACGAATTCAACCCAATGAAAAATATAAAATTTGAATAGCAGGAGGCATTAAAATTACATGTGTAATCATGTGAATGTAAAAAGGTAAACAAACAATATGTAACTTACAATCTGAACGTATATTAGCATTGATTTGTTCATCTAACCAGTCAATTGCTTTCGAAGCAAATTTTGTACCTAAACTTCTATCAAATGGACTTGGTCTATCACCTTGTTGCATATGACCCAGTACGTTACAACTGAATATATGAAAAGTTGTAAAAATATAAATGAAGCGAAAGTTTTGGTTATATTTACCTGAACATATTTGAAATAAACTTTAAAAATAGTCAACTATAGCTTGAACTACTTGATAGTAACTAAGAGTAGTATAGCACTATACAGCTAGAAAATATGAAGTAATCAATAGAAATAATTAACAGATTTAGCATTAGTTACTTTATCAAACGGTGATTATTCTTGGGGAAATATCGTGGACTGACTGAAGTTGGATATTCATGCCTTTAGATTTTGACTCAATAATCTAGACGTCAAGCGTTTCCACTCAAGGTTGAACCTTTTATGTTCGACTGCCAGGTTCAAGGTGTTGTATGCTCACTGCTGAGTCTCATACTGGAACAAAACGACTGTTAATTTCCTCTAGATTTTCCATGGTGGTTCAGCTAAGATCGATTCGTGAATAGGACTACGAATCTTGTGCAATTTCTACAAATATCTCTATACTAATGAAATCATTACACTTATTTAAAGTATCGTACATTAAGCTGAAATAAAAATTTCCTAATAAGTTTTTTCTCTCAAGCGATAAGACCTTGACAACTAATTGTCTTAACTTCCCAATGTAAGAGAACAAAAAATGGATCTAGACAAATGAGTTTCTACTATTCTCAAGAGAAATTAAATTGTTAATACTAATCTGTTTAGGTAGCAACGACAATATGATGTATTAAAATAGAGACTAACCAATCAGGGAACAGTTAAATTTGGAGCGGTTGTTATGCAGTTTAAATTATCGTTGACTTGGTTACGTGGCAAATTATCAATAAAACGGTAAACAATTACTTGTAAGACATTTTTCTTCTTCTTCATAGTTATTTCAAGAGAAAGAAATATCTCTACTAGTCAATTTTTCCCTCTTCCAATAGTAGTTCAATTATCATGAATAATATATACTTAGTTTGACTTCACATTAAGTCAGTCGATTGATTACTCAACATTAGATACGCAAATTATTCCTCTATTTTTACACAACTGAGGATGAAACACACGTTATGCCAGAATTGTAACACAGATGTATAACATCTAATCGGTGATTAATTCCTATCAAATGGTCAAAGAAAGTTAATCGATAGGGTATTGTGTAGATTGTTTATATCACGAACTGATTTAACGTAGTAAAGCTAGGAATGTAAACTATTTGATATTAATTCATTAAATTGAAGACCAAGCTCTTGCCACAAAGCCTTAAGGTCTTAGGCTCATTTCCAGGTCGAAAGCAATATACAATACTTCCTAGTTTTTACTAATTATTTGACTAAGATCGTTTCATGATGATAATTATGAAAATTATATCGACTTCGATTTGAATAATAATGAGACACTTACCGGCAATCAAATATACCTTGACCTTCTTGAGCATATAATTGATGAATAAATTCACTTGTATAATATTTATTAGCATATTCAGCTCGTAGTATTAAACCACGTTTAACATTATCATCAATTTTTGCACGTAGATGTACTACATCTTCACGTAAATCATCAATTGTAAATGGCTCTTCAAATATATAAGCAGCATCTGCTCCACCAGCTAATGCACTCATTGTAGCTAAATAACCACAATAACCACCCATTGTTTCAACAACAAATACACGACGTTTTGTACCTAGTGCACTTTGTTTAATTTTATCTAAAACCTTAAAAAATTAATGTTTAAATAGGGATAATTTATAATAAGAATGACAACAGGAAGAAAAGAGAATGAAGAGAGTAACCAATAGTTATTGGTAACGATTAATTAACTAGCAGATTTCTCAAGGTTTTATTTGTCACAGATTAATCTCAGTTGATGTACCGATAATAACTAGGATGAATAGGATAGCTATTTCGTCATAGTATAGGGCCTCTGAGCAAAACGTACTGCCAACCTCATAGCAGGTTAGACTCGGGACCTCCGGGTAGCATGACGAACGCTGACACCAGCATAATCTATATAGTGAACCGATCTCCATAAAATCCATTCAACTAAACTGGAATAGTCAGCTTATTTGTGACTTATTTCAAGATATTCCTAAATTTCTAGTGTGAAGTTGTAATTGTTAGACTTCAAGAATGTTGAGAGTAAAGTGGATTTCGCTAATCGTATAAAATGGTCGTCATACTATATATTGCAAGTCGTTTGAAGTCAGAATTGCTCCAATACATATTGACCCAGAGATTACAATGACCAAATGTTTTCTAAAAGAGAAATTAAAAATAAATACACTGTTATGCTTTAAATTCACTTGGTATTATTTACTTGAATCCTCCCATTGATGTTTAGGACTGTTGTTGATCAGTCTCTTATTGATATATGTGTACACTGTGCGTACTGCCTCAATATTGCCTTAATTTACAAGCATTATAAGAAAATATGGATAGTGACTAGCACTGTAATCCAGGTCGCGCATTTCTTCCCATTTGGGACTCGTCAGCTAGATGTACCTCAATCTTAGAGTTGATGTTCACTCTGGGACTTGAACCCAGTACCGTTTGCTTCAAACGTCATCGCTAGTCCCAGAGTGAACTCCAACTCTAAGATGCAGGTACATCCAGCTGACAGATCTCATAAAGGACGAAACGCGCGTCTTGGATTCCACTGCTAGCCACTATTTATCTTTGCTTATAATCCTTATGAGTTAAGCTTTAAAACATTTTGGGGAGAATCTAAATTAGCGCCAATCATAGAAAGATTTGCTTACTTTAGAATTAAATATAGATGAAAAATTTAGAATTATATTTGAAAGGATGATGGTGAAATAATTTGAGTCTGCATTGAAACCACTGGTTCAATGGTCAGTCACAAGAAACACAGAATCTGGTATGAATGTGCATTGGCTCCAGTTGCCGCATTATATCAGCATAGTTAGACGAAATTATCAAGATGAATATCAAAGCAGTAGAAGTAATAATAATATTTATAGAATATATGAATAAGCAAAGAGAATGCTACCTGAGAAGAATAAGTAAATTCACGGAATAAGAGGTCTGAAAAATAATTTCAAAACTAAGGATACGAGAGAAGATTAGGTATGAATGCACTTGGGCAACCGATCTGAGGTTATATTACTTTACATCTCTAACCACATATTGAGGGAAAGACCCTGAACGAATAGTCTGAACGCCGACGACTTTATGGAATGACACTGTGTCTTGATTTGGATACCATTGTCTTTCCTCTAATTTACTCTTATGCCATAAACATTGAGTCGAGGTGGTTTGTGAATGAGTATAAATAATACATATTCCAAATACCTCAGCTGGTAAAGATCCAATACTTCACCAAACTATTTGCAATCTTTACGAAGTATTCTGTGTTTTGCATCGGCATTCCCCATCTGATGACAAAGCTATGGTAATAGTAATCGGAAAGTCTTGTAAAGAATATTGTTGTATATCTAAATCCAAATATAGCAATACAGTTTGATTTTGAATGGTTCCATCAGCGGTAATGGCAGTCGTTCATGGAACTGAACATCAAAGTACCCACTCGAAATTTTTTCTTGACTGAGTTATTAAGGATGATATGCGAACAATCAAGTTTTTTGCAATTCACATTAGTATGAAATAAAATAGTTAATTTATCGCAATCATAATAGTATGATTATATCTCGACCCTCACGATCTAAATATATCATACTTACAGTGAGAACAGAAAGAACTGGACTCGCTTCCATGACGTCGCTAAGGTGCTGCAAACTAAGATGTAACCACTACTCTCTAGTTTTTTTTAATTTCCTTTCGATCTCTTCAAGCTAATGCCGATATTAAAATGCTAATCAGAAACAAAATATAAAACTTGAAAATATATGTATAACTTACAGAGGTTATTTCATTTAAAGCTGTATCACAACCCAAGGAGAAATCAGTACCAGGAACATTATTAGAAATTGTCGCTGGTACCATCGCCATAGGTATACATAATTCAGGATATTTTTCACGTCCTTCAACCAGTTCTATCATACAATCGTATGCTTCAAAGCCACCAATAATAAGAAGACCGCTTAATTTGAATTCCTTAAATCTCGCGGCCACTTTCTCTATACCTAAACTATTTGGTGTGTCTCTAGACAATTGAAATAAATAAAATATAAAAATGAAAGCGAACTTAGTTAGCATATAGAAACCAAACCATGAAATACAAGGCAAGAATACAGTTACGTAAGGCTAAATTAACTTGATAATTCAAGTCATGCATTGATTAAATTTTAATCTATTTGACTTCTAACAGTTCTGAAAGCAAGGTTGGTTCAGATGTCAAATTGTTTCCCACACGAAACTGACGTACTTTGATGAAGGGCGTATTTAGAAGACAATTTAAAAAGAATCTCAGACTTTATCATTATGAATCGGATATTTCTAACAATTCTTCTCTAGTAATTAAAATACAAGTGTATTAGCAGTCTGTAAAATCATACTAACGATGAAACAGTAAGTACTGACCTTGAAACTGAAATTTTGAGTGATTCGCCGACAACAATAATGCTGATCTACGATATTTTAACTGCATTATCTTAATGGATGATCGACATTCATAAAGTTCAGTAGGTAAAAAAATGAGAATTCCCCCTGTGTTAAAGAGATTGCAATATTTTTACTTCAGTGCTTCAATATTTTCAAACATTTTACAGTTCAAATATCAAGGTGTTGAATGGTAAGGTGATATAAATTACTTAAATACGTGAAAGTTATTATTCATCATTTCAAATGATGCTGTGCTAGGAACTGATGAACAATCTTTCGACAAAACTACAATTGATTAGGTATTGCTGAGGAAATATCAAGTTCAAAACTTGTCATCATACCTATAATGCTGCATTTAGTCTATACAGCATTCAATGGGACAGGTAAAATATGTTATATTTGACTGGCAACTAATAAAAAAAGACAAGGTCGGTCCGATTACAAAAATGAAGATACCATTTGCGGCTACTTATAAATTAATAGTAGTTTAAATTTTTCGACAAAAGTCTAGTTTTAAATAACCGCATAGCACAGATCAAATACCTGCGTGTTCCTAACATAGAACCACCGATTCCCACCCATCCACGTACATCAGACCACTGTATTTCACTAGCATCACCTTTAACAAGACCGGAGAATCCTTCGTGTATTCCGATAATCGTATAACCTTTGGTAATACCCAAACGAGTAAATCCTCTTATTACTGCATTAATACCGCAAGCTGGAGCACCGACATTCACGATACCGATTCTCAAGTTGTTCTGAAATGTGAGAAAACAAACAAATGATTCATAGACTTTAAAAAGTTGTGAGTGTGTTGCGTTTTTATTTTACAGGCCATCAATAACTATGCTGTGAACGAAGTGATAGATAATAGATGTTGCTTCTGTAAGCTGAAAAAAACATGAATGTGACCCATTGAAATCATTCGTAAAATTATTTGATAAATAATGATATTCCAGGAAAATATGTATATGTATATGTAACAAGTATAGAGATAAAAACATGACGCTATATACATAAGGATATGAGAATATATATTGTAAAAAAGATTATTAGTTAACATTGACCAGTTATCCTACAAAACAAGCTGCATACCAATCTTCAAAATAAAAACGCGCATTAACATGGATTCAGTACATGATTTTGTAGGATAACAATAAATAAAATAAAATTGTGAAAATTTTTAAAGTATTGCTGAAGATCAAATTGATCAGGGTCAAAAAATATTGATTTAGGTGTTCAACTAAAAAGCGACAATTAAAAATGAATATAAAAGTAAATGCAACAGAAAACGAACATAGGATAAAATGACAATAGTTAAAGTTGTTACAAAATAATTATGTTCGTATTGTATATCATTTTGTAAGTTCTAGTATTTCTATAATATAGCCTAACTATCCAGGGAGTATTAGCCAATGAGGGAGAAAATAACGATTCATCTTCTATCATATAAGTCAGTCAGTTATTTACTCACTCATCAGCAAAGTAGAATATGGCACGTGTATAAATCAGACAAAACTGTTATACATGTCAGTGGTAAAGGGTGAGGAAAATTGTTAAGCATCAGGAAAATATTACGATTACATTCACGAAGTATGTAATCTAAGCTTTGGAAAGCAATAATTGTCAATCCTACCTAAGAATGTAGGTTACTGCTTATCCTATTGCCTGGATTAATGTGTTCAGTTGTTTACTAGTAGAATAATGTATAGAAAAAGTTATCCAAAGAACTACATGGTTAAATGGTTCCCAATCGGAAAGTTACAAGAGCAGTAACCTTTTTAAGAAATTTGAAATCGGTATTTCAAATCACTAGTCTAGGAAAATTTACGAAATCTATATATAATCTAAAGAACATAACACACAACTTTAATTAATGTTATTATTTCAAAGTATGATTTTTCCATTAACTGATTGCTGAGTAATAACCAATGTCATGTCTGTGTAGTTCTTTGAGTGCTGGTAGAATTCTGCCAATCAAAAGGGTTACTAATCTACGGGACTCAACATTACGTGTAGTATACTGAGAAATTAGAAAGGTGAATATAGTCGGTCGGCAGTAAACTCCGCATGTCATAGGTTTTGTGCTCATTGGCACTCATCAGCAACATATACCTAAAATCTTAAGAACAGTTGATCCCTGTGGGACTTAAACCAACAGCACCCAAACTCACAGTCTGGGACTCAGACAATAAGCTTTTCGGATTGCACCTGACCTCCTAAAGAACTCGTATATTTATGATTAATCGAATGATCATAAAGAAGCAATCAATGTCACGTTGGTTCAACTATTTGTTATCAATCGAACTGCACATCTCAGATGGTAACGTCTCATTTTATGAAGCTAAGTGATACAGATTTTTATTCAACTGACAGCATCGGTCATTTCAAGCCTTATTTCCAAGTGCCAAATAGTAGGGAACCTAGATCCAGGATCTGTTAACGACTACAAATGGCTTACAATGCTCCACAGAATTTTCAATCTAGTCATTCATTCCTTTAATGGCTGAATCAGATAAATATAACTGAAAGCATAAAATAATGAAATTTTTTAGTTTACTAACTAACTAAACTATTTAAATGATCCATCTATATATATATATATATATATATATATATATATATATATATATATATATAAAGGTCATCAAAATCACTATTCAATCCAAATCCAACATTTTAACTGTGCTTCAATTGATTATGACACTGTTATTGATGATGTCAAAGATAAATCTATGAATGAAGCATTTAAAGTTCATAGTATGTCATGTAATCATCCAAAAAACACAAAACACGCATATTCGATTACCTGACATCATGATTTTTACGTAAACAAACGACTATTTAAATAAATAAAAATATAATATAACACTCTTAATAAATTGGACAATTATTAATACTAAGTAAACAATATACAAGGATAACTGAATTATTTTCAGTCTCATTAGAATACTAATACTTATTCATTCAATAGTTGAATTCATGAGTCAATTGAAGCTAGACCACCATGAAAACCCTGGAAGCATTGGACGGCCATTTCGTCCTAGTATGGGGCTGCTCGCGCGCGAGACTTGTAGGTCCTGGGTTCGAATCTCGAGAGTTAGGATCGTGGATGCATTGCTGAGGAATCCCATTCTAGGACGAAATGGCCATCCAGTGCATTCAGGTTTTCCATGGTGCTTTAGCTTCAATTGACTCATGGTCTAAACTATTAAAATTACTATAATATCCACTAAACCCTTTTTTTTCTTATTTTTATTTAGCTTAACGATGTTGAGAAATTCATTGAAATCCCTTTCGTAACATGTCATATACGATATCAGCACAATAAGTGATAGGTGCTTGTGAAAGAATCGCTTTCATGTTTTTGCAAACACTCACACTCATACACTTATATGTAATCACAAAAATGGTCATAATAACTGTTTAGCAAGGCCAATTCTTTTCAATATTTACCTATGTTATGACAGAGATGCAAATGATTTTACCTTAAACTTAATGTATACTAAGGAGTATTACCATAGTGATTTGTAAATGGATGCATTCATTTCTGCTACATAAAATTTAACTCCATATTCACAGGAGATTATTAGTATAAATTTTTATCAAACTTCAGTTAAGTTAAAGCAAAATCTTTAATGTGTGGCTTAATGATTAACTAATCAACTAACAGGGTCGTGCATTCTAACCTGGTTTACACCGTTGGTTAGTATTATTAGCTATTAAAGATAGGTATACAGATTTTGTGAGACAGTCTTCTGTAATATTTTAATTATATGTCTTCGAATAGTTAGATCCATCTGAATAGACTTAATTATATAATAATATGATGTGCACTATCAGTAACTATTCATATTTACTCAAAACAAAAGTGGACAAGATGTTTGCACAAATGATTGATTTATTAAAAATAGGCTCATTAATATATTACTGACATAAAGCAATTGAAAACGATAAAATGTGAGAGCTGAGTTGACTGATCAATGAACGAATAGTCACTGAACAAGCAGCCAATATACGTATCAACCAATGACGTAACAGAGTTAGTAATCAGCATTACCATTAAAGACATGTCTGTCTAATGAGCTGACAAATTTTGAGTGGAATCGATAAACTATCATGAATTTCTTCTCTAATCACTAAAAAAATTTATAACAAGGCTTGATAGGTTGTGGTAATCAAACATATCAGATCAAGACCACATGATTAGTGAGAGATACGACATCTGTAGACTATCGGCAGACGTTTGACTGAAATATTTAAGAGACAAATATCTATGTTTATGAATAAGTTTGAACACATATATGGCTCGCCAGTTAGACTCAGTAACTTAGTAGATAAAGCTTTAGTGTTTAGGTTTTAACCTGTGAATGTGAACAACAAACCTGGATTTCAGTTATATTCAACTAAAGATGTTCAAATATAATTTGCACAGTAAGCTACTATCCGCGCCTATTTACAAACACTGATTCGGTTCTAGAATTTCTAAAACTAAACAACTTCAACTTAAAGTGGAATAAAACTAGTTACCGAGAAAAATTTTATCTTTGAATATTGTTTCTAAACCAAAAATCAAAAATGGAATTTAACCAATAGAATTACATAATCCACTTTTCAGTCATTTGGTTAAATCACATTTTATTCCGCGTGACCTTGAGGTGTAGACATACAAAATGATTGAACTTGTAGGAAAATTACAACACTTCATTGATCGATCGATCAATGAACAAAATCGTTCGACGAAATTCTAAATGTATTTACTGTATTTTATAATTATGATTATTTTTGGAGAATTTCTACTTGAAACAAATGGGATAATAAACAACCAAAAAAGGCTATTTTTTATCGTAAATATTAATATAAGACATATTCTAAAACATGATATCAGTGGCTCTTATCAAACTGTAGAACTTTCTAGACATGTAAATAACTAGACAGTTCAGTGAAGATAGTTGAAGTTTGATAGATGGAAAAATAAGTCTAGTGTATCATTGGTGGCCTAGTTAAATATCTGGATTATTTGTTCCTTCCATCTAGATATTTCAATAAGTTATCTGTTTTTCTGTTTGTTTTAACACATCATTATGTCTATTGATCGCATAACCTATTTCAGGCGCATTTATGAACAGTTTACGATCTCTTACTGTACAATTTACAAAACGTACAATCAGAGACATCGTGATGGCTGGTAATATGCATCGAAAAGAATATACATTATTCAGAGGTCGATTCCTGAACTGCTAACATCTAAATGGCGATTGCTCAATATTTATCATCAGGATCGATCACGAAGTATTTTGTAATAAGAATTCTATTCTGTGCCAAAAATCTACTAGTGAATAAACCTAATAATAATAAATTAAATAAAACCATAATAATGTAATGAAAATGACATAGTGTAAGGGGTATATTGGATGTAGAGAAATTTTACATTCGGTACAATGTATGTTCTACTCAACAATAAAAAACAATAATTTATTCATCTTCTTTTGTTCAAAAGGAATTCTCAGCTAAAAGACTATCATTATTAATACATTCACAATAATAGATGTCTTGTAAAAACGGTTGAAAAGATCAGGAATGTGTTATCAGTTCTTCAATCATTCTACGAATCTCTTAATAAGTGTTTATATATAGATTGTCGGAACTATAAGAAAATGCGAAATGCGGATCTGTAGGGCTTATTGAATTTCATAGTTTATATTATACACTGATCGCGATTAGTGGACTGCTAAGGAGTTTCGTAGTAGAATGAAAC